CTCTGACTCAGGAATTGCTCTGAAACTGTTTTTCTTATCCTTTCACTCTGTTCCAACCTGCTCCATACTGTCACACCATGAGGGCCAGACAGAGTCCTTTCTCATCAGGACAGAAATAAAGCATCCACTTCAGCTGACTTATCACCTCTAAGCTCTTATCTTTCTGGTGCAGAAAATTCCCTGGACATATGAGAAAAAGAAGGCTAGATATTTTTTGAAAACTAATTAATCAATGACAAATTTATTGAGTACTGACATATTATATGACGCTTAATGTGTTAGGTGCTGGTGGTATTGGAGACTATTTCTGCCCTTAAAGATGTAACCAAACTCTATGACACCATGATCTCAGTGCTGGAGTGCAGATGGAGAAAGAAAGTGCTAGATATTCAGAAGTGGGGCCCCTACACTGAAGGTTCAGAAAGCTTTTCTAAAGTAACTGAGCACTGATATTGAAGAACGAAGAGTTCTCCATGTAGCAAAGTGGGAAAAGGTATTCCAAGACAAAGAAATGGCTTGGTGAAGGCAGAGTCAGGAACACATATGGTGAATCCAAGGGGTCCCAAGTCCTTTGGGATAGCCAGGGCACAGCGTAATATACAAGGGAAGACGAGAAGTGGAAGATCATATGGCAGGGACAAATCTTGGAGGCTTTGCAGGCAACACTAAGTTATGTAGGCCTTCTCTTGAGATCAAACAAGAGCAATTGAGGGATTTTGAGCAGGCGAATTAGGTGATTAAATTTCCCTTTAGAAAAATCACTATGGATACAGGGTAGAGAACAGTTGGGAGGAATGGGAAGAACACTGGAGCCAGAGACACCAGTTTGGAGATGATGGCAGTAGACCAGGCCTGCACCAAAGAAGGTGTCTGGGAGGCAGCATGGACAGGGTTTTGTGATGGATCAGGGGGTGGTGGTGGAAGTCAAGGAGAAGGTTAGGATGAACCAGGGTTTTGGCTTGAGAGAACTGGTGAGTGATAGTGCCATTAACAGAAACCAGTGATCCAGAAGGAGGATAAATTCCACTTTACAGGGCTTCTAGTATGACAGGATAGCTCTTATCAGGATGGAGGTTGCACTGGCACAACCACGCAGAGATGGTGATGAGTCATTGCTATAGTCATGCGTTCACCGAATCTGCTCTACACCAGGCACTGGGCTGGGCAATGACACAAGAGTCCTGTGGCGCAGGATTCACTTCCTTTCACAGTTCTACTCCTTACCAACCCAGAGACTCTCACAATCCCATTACCTACTGCGTTTCCGTGTCAACATCTCAAATATGGCGACCACACCCTCAGCTTCTTTGGATGAGCATAGTGATAACACTGGGGAAAGCCCTTGGTACACTGTAACCACTAGAACCTGAATGACAATTTCAACAAAGAAGCTGGAAGTGGAGTTTGCCTTGTAGATAATGGACCATCCTGGCTATGGAAGAGTCAAGAAACAAGAGGTAAAGAAAAACTAATCTTCTTAGCAGTGTGACAGACCCAGATGGAAGTAAGGAGGGGACTCACAGGGACTCCATCACGCCCCTCCTACACAGTGACTGCCCCCTTCACCCACAGTGTACAGGGATGTAAGCTGGGATAGAGGGAACTACTCTGAAATACCATGGGCGAGTTTGTAAAACTAAGAAGAGTTATCAGTAACATCGTTCATTTTAAATAATAATTTCTTCTTGTTGGTGTTTCCAATAAGTACAGATTAATTTCAGATGTGGTAAAGGTAAACAGGCAAAGTTCTTTCCATTCCTGTGGTCCTTAGTAGTGAAACAAATTGCTTTCAATTTTATGAATTTCATAGACTTCATCTCTTGGTATTCTGATAATGACTCTGAAGCATGGCAGAAATTATTATACTCATTTTGCAGTATTAATTAGTAAGATTTAATTAATTAATAAGAATTAATATTTGGGGTATCTGACAAGCTAGTGAACATCATACAGATAGTTGATGCAACCTTGAATCCACATCCATCTCTCTGAGATGAAGACTTTTTATGTTATTTTATATATTTACTTAGAGGGATCAATAGTTTTGAAAACTTTGTGAAATATTGTTCAGCAAATCCCTTCTCAGTTTCTCAAAGATTAGGTCTGAGAAAGTATTTCAGAGAATTCCTGGCTCCATTTCCAATTCCCTCTCTTTCCTAAATCTCAAGACTCTTTTCTCTACTGGTTCTTTTAACCTACAACATGGTAGGGTCTCTACCCTCCCTGACTCTTTCTCCTCTTGTAGGTATGATCTCATCTCTCTCTTCCTCTTCTTGCTCAAGATTTCTGAAAAAAACTGGAAGTGTGGTCTACACTCCCCCAGTTTTTTCTGTATTTCAGCCCACTAAATCAGGCCTCCCTCTAGGACCAGTGCACTGAACTTGTATTTACGAGGGTAACTCATGACCCCCCCCCCTTGTCACATGTTTTGGCCCTTGAATGTGACTTCCATGCAGTATGTACTTCTGACCATGTCTTCTCTCTGCCTGGTTTCTGTGGCCTCTTGCTCTGGGCTCCTTCCTGGCCCTCTCCCTTCTCCCCCCATCTCCTTTGTGGGCTGGCTCCTCTTTCTCTGCCTGCTCAGTAAAGCCCTATATTCTCCATACACCTTGACCTTCCTTTCTTCTCACTCCACAGATGAGGATGGTATATCTCAGCCTTTTTGTGTCTGCAGCACCCTCTGGAGCAGCAGAGTTTGTGGAGGCAGTAGGAAGGAATTTAACTGCACCCAAGAGAGTGAACTATCTCCTTGTCGCCTTTTGGGATGGTGTGGCTGTTTAATGGCATCGTTAAAACTGTAATAAATGCTGCAAAAGAAAGTTACACAGGATTATGAGAGCTTATAATAGGAGAAGTTGACCTAGTCAAGACTTCGGAGAAGTTTAGTTGAGATCTGAAAAATGAAGAGGAGTTCATTTAGGTGATGTTCTCTACAAAGAATAAATAGCATGTGTATAGGGCCTGTGACAAGAAAGAATGTTCCCTGCTCAAGGATCTGAAAGCAGGCCTGGATGCCTGGAGAAAAGAGGTCGGGGGAGAGGCCTGAGTAAGTCATGCTGGAGACAGTGAGGGCTTTCCGAAAAAGCTCAGGATCTTTGTTGTTATGATCTGAGCAAAGGGAAGTCACTAAACTACAGATCATGGGGGTTAATAAGATCAGCTTTGGGTTTCAATACGATCTCTCTGGCCACACCATGGAAAAGGTCTGGAAGAGAGAAACAGAGTGTTGCACAGTGATCAGCTGGGAAGCTGCTTATGGGAGCACTGGGGAGAGGAGGAACCAGTGCCCACGGGAAATACCAGCCAGACCCAAGAGACGAAATCCATCTTGGGAAGGAGTAACGAGGGAAAGGCAGCTGAGGAAGTTGCTGGGTGGGCCAGGTGGACATGTGGGCAGATGGGCAACACGGAGAACAGGATAGGTTTGGGAGGAAGACCCTGAGTGTGGTCTCAGACATGTGGAATTTGAGGCTCCTGAACTGCCAAGCTCTGTCAGACATTCTCTCTCTGAAGTGGCCTCCCTTCCCCAATTTCTGACAGGGAAAACTCCAGTCCCTCCATGGAAGCCCAGCCCAGGTACTGCTGTCTCCCTCCTTCCCCACACCACACAGAGCTCATCATTTCTTCTCCTGTATTACCTCTCTGTTCAAGGCAATCTCCTCTCTTGTAAGGAACTGTAAAACTCTATTTGCAAGCTCATGTCCTCCTCTAAGCTGTTTGCTCCCTGGAGGCAAAGCTGTGAATTCATCTTTGCACCCCAAGAACCAATACATTATCACCATCTAATAGCTGCTCATAAACACTTGAAGAATTGATGTGGATACATGTATAAAACATTTACAATTTCTCTAACGCCTTTCTCCTGACGAGCTCAGGAAGTCATAGCAGCTGGAAATACACGTTTACAAGTAGAGGGTATGAAAGGTGAGCTTTTTCAGGCATTTGCGAGCTGTGGGAGGAGAAGAGACATTTGCCTGTCACCAGGTCACTATAACCATTAGGAGTCCGTTTGGCTGCAAGGAACAGAAAACCCAGCCTAGTGGCTTAAACAAATGGGGACTATTTTTCTCACATGGCAAGATGTTCAGTGAGGGGCTGTTGCTGGCATTGCTTTGAATGCCCAACAATGCCAGGCTCTTTTTCACTCAGTCATCCTAGTCATATTGGTCTTGTGGCTTCATGTTCACTGTCCCTTTGTTGTCACCTGGTTACAGCATCCCTAGACATCCCATTTGTGTTCAGCCATGAAGAACATGGAAAATGGAATGACAGAGCCAGCAGCCTATCCATTCAACTAGCTCCTGCTTGGGCCGCTCAGCTGAAGCCCTGATGGGAGCTCTCTGGCCTTATGGAAATGTCTTCTCTGGTAATTTATCTTTTCTTCCTTTTTTGAAAGATTAGAATTCTAGTTGTTATGTGTTTAATGAGAATAAGCATTAGGGATTCAGAGGAGAGTGTCTTGTCTGGTTATGTTTCAGGGATTTTTTTAAGTAGTGTTCACCTGAACAAAATTGTTTTTGAATTTTAGGTTGAGCAAAGTTTTTCACATTTCATATCCATGATCATTTTATGGCTTCAAAAGGAAGAAAGGCAGGAGGAACACAGCACAAATAGGCAGGAAGCAAGTACGTCACTGTTTTCCACTGACTACACATATGCCCTTATTCACCTAAATCCAACGGAAATCCATGTTCTTGACAACCCAGGAGTGAAAGACATCCGGAGTGAATTATTTATCCTTGCTATGAACATGGGTAATTAAGAAACCAGCTAAGGGCTGCGTGGGAACATACTTTGACAGCAGCTCCTACACAATCTGAACCTGAAGATGGGTTGCAACCCATGTGTGAGATCCTTCCTGCTGGTATTAACTGCTTCTTTCCCTGTGTTCCCATGCACTTCATACATGGCCTTGGCACAACCCTGCGCACAGGTCTCTCCTCTGCTCCAGCCCAGTAGTTCCCTTAGTGTTAGAGACCCTGCCTCCCTCACCAGCATACCTCAAAGACCCTGCAGAGGGCTGGCTTCTAACAGATGTTCAAACACTGCAGGGCTGAGAGGAAGAGTCTGTGAGTATCCTCTTTGCTCCTCCACCAGTAGGAAGGTCCAGGACATTGGGAGGTAGGAGTTCCTCACCAAAGGAGTACTGCACCTAAAGGGATACACCCAGGCTTAGACACAAACTTTCTGCATGTTCCAGGGGGCCTGAACATGAAGTATGACGGGCGTGTATTGGCCACACCAAGTTCTTCCGCCTCACACATTTCAGTTTTCAAACACAGTCCACTTCCTTTCCCTTTAGGCTCCTCCTGGGACAGTCTACCTCCCCAGGCCCTCCTTCACCTGGCTAATTCATGCTCATTTTTCAGTTAGGTGATGTCTCTTGGGCATCACCTCCTGAAGAAGCTTTCCCTGACCTCCCCCAAACTTGGATCAGCGCCACCTCCACGACCACACCCTCTTTGTTCTGGACTGTACTTGCCCATTAGTTTCCCTTTCTAGACCGTGAACTCTGAGAGGGCAAAAGGTGATTTTTGTTCTCTCTTTTGTCACCACAGCTTATGATGCCTCCTGGAGCATAAGAAGGGTTCCAGATGTCTTGGAGTGAACTGGTGGAGCAGTGGCGTGTCCCCCGCGTGGCGGGGCCTCAGGCCCCCTCTCTCCGCGGCTGGGACTCGGGACGCGCACCGGGAGAGGCGCGCCCCTGCCGCTGGGACCCGCCCCCGGGCTCCAGAGCCGCCCCGCCCGCCCGGCCGCGTCCTTGCGCGCTGGGCGGCGGCGACAGGGGCAGGAGCCCGAGGAGCAGGTGGGGCGAGGGCCCCGCCTCCGCGTCCCGGCAGCCCCACAGCCGGCGGCAGCAAGGGAGCTGGGCGCACCGAGCGCAGTGGCACGGAGCGCAGCAGCACCGAGCGCAGCGTGGCCGTGGCGGCGGCGGCGCCTGGAGCACTCGGGCTGCGGGACGGAGCCCCGAGCCTGGAGGCGGCGGCGGGGACGTCGTCCGGAGCCTGAGTCCTACCTAGCTGCAGGTAGCGGTGCGCGACCGCGTCCGGGTCCGTACCGGGCTGGGGAGGAGGGGGTGACGTGCTGGGGCAGCGGCCGCTCGAGCGGGTCCCGGGACGGAGTGGACCGCGGCGCGGATAGTGTTGCCGCGCGCGCGCGCGTGTGCCCGGGAATCCCCGCCCCCCGCCGTCCGCCGCCCGCCGCGTAGCGCCCTCCGAGCCCGGCGGTAACGGGACGGCGGAGGGAACGAGGTCACCGTGGGGTTGCCTGGTGACTTCTCTTGACCCGACTGTCCAGTGAGCGGCCCCTGGCGTGCCTGGCCTGGGCTTCACCGAGCTCTCCCTTTCTCTCTTCCCCGCCTGCCCCACCCCCGAACAAAAGGCTGGGGTCTCGGTGAGGAGGGGGCAGACTCATGGCAGGACTGGAGATGGCTTTGGGGATACAGAAGCCTGTCCCGGAGGTGTGAAGTGACTTGCCCAAGGTCACACAGCTCATGCGTGGCGACCTAGCTGGGACCTGAAAGAAGGTCTCAGGACTACCCTCCCAGTGCTCATCTCCAGGCCCCCAAGATCACTAAGCTGGCTGTGCTCCAGAGCTTTAGAATTGGCCCCACGTGGGCTTTAAAGTCCCCTGAAGGAGTCAGAGAAGGTGGCAGAGACTGCCCCTCCCCCCAGGCCCCGGAGGCGGAGTGGAGCAGGGTTGCGGGAGCGGGCATTTGGACAGCGGGTGTGAGGGACAAGCCCTGCCCTGTGGGCAGGCAGGCACAGCCTCGCAGGAACAATGCCTTCTGAGCGTGGCGTGCCAGCCGCGTGGGTGTGCCTGCAGCGGGAGCTGGAGCCGCGTGGGGACCGAGTGTACGCTGCTCCCTGGAAAGTTCTACCTGGAGAGGCCCCCGAGAGCTGTTCCCAGCTCGCTGGGATGCCCCGGCAGCATCCCTCATATTCGGGATGTTTTTGTGTTTGGAAGCAGAGTTACTCTGTAGCAGGAAGTTGGGCTGTCACTTCGCCTCCCGGAGTGTCATTAGCTACAAAATGAGGCCCTTGTTCTACATGACCTGTGTGATTTAGTTCATGCCCCTGTCCTTATTTCCAAAATCTTTTATCCATTCAGAAGGAGGGTTGGAAATACATTTCTTATGGTCAGCCATAGTAGTCATCACTGGGACCCCAACCTTCCCTGAGTTGGTTTTTGTTTATTTTTGTAACTTTAGGTAAAGCTAATGATGGCAATACAGGTTAGAAGTGGGGTTGCCTTTGGGCCTTATAGTGACCGGGACAGGGCATGAGTGGGCTTTCTGGGGTGTTGGAAATCCTCCTTCCCTTGCCTTACCAGTGATTCCACAGGCATCTGCCTATAGATATTTATGAAGTCATTCCCTTGAGATTTGTGCACTTGACTTATGTGTTACCTCGATAAAAAAGTAAATAAAATTTTAATGCTAAAAATCCACTCACTGTGGTAGCACACAGATTAGTCCAGTTTTCTAGCAGTGCATTTTAGAGATACATTTAAAAACCACAAAAACCGAATCAGAAAAGGAAAAAAGAAAAAAAAAGACGGAGAATAAAAGAAAGTTGAAAAATAACAGGAAAGGGAACATACACTGCAGAGGGCTTTACCAAATGCCTGTATGAACATCACCTCATGGGAGTCACAGTTCTTTACGGGAGATACTGTTATTCTGCCAATTTTACAGATGAGCAAATAAAAAGTCATACACTTTTAAAATGCCCATTTATGCCTTACCCCGGGGGAGCCAGGGTTAAGAACCTGAGTACACAGACTTCAAATTCTGTACCTACCACCGTAAACAGACAATTTTCGGCCACCTGAAGCAGAGGCACGAAACTTGAAGTTTGGCTTCCTGCCCTGCCCCCTTTTTGTTCCTTTCCAGGAGCCTCTGTTGTTTTCATATAATTGTGCGTGTGAGATTTTGTCACAGACTGAAGTTAGCCAGCAGCAGAAGGAATGGAGGAAGCGTGTGTGTCTAAGAACATACAGTTTTAGAAACAGGAGAAAGCCAGCTGGCCTAGCCTGCCAACGCTCTTTTTAGATTTATTGTTCAGAAACCGTATAGAACAGGTTGTGATTTTTGTGGTTACTCAAATACACACACACACACACACACACACACTGAATAATATAACCTAGCAAAGGTATGAGAAACCAAAGTATAATTAACTCTAGAGGAGAACACGTAGTAGAATTTTCACCAGGGAGGATCAGTCAACTTTCCTACATCCTAGAATTTATAAAGACACTTTCCTTAACCCTTAAGTAGACACAAAAAAAAACAAAAAGACACACGCTGTACAGAAATAACTCAGCAGAGGAAGAAAAGTTGTTTTCGAGCCAACGTGTTGTAAATATACATTAAATTTGGGGCAGACAGTATTTGAAACTTTAAAGTACAGTAACATTGTTTCTAGAGAGAAACCTTATCCTAATGTGTGGTCTTCTAGTGATTTTATATTTCTGCCTAAAATTCAGACCTCAGAGAAGTAGAAATATGTTTGTTTTACCAGCCTGTTTCCTGTTGCAGTGTTGGATGTTTGCCTTATTCTTGGAATTATAAAGTTTTGGTGTAAAGAGCGTGGGTTAAGTGGGGCAACCAAAGAGGTGTCTCTGGGTGAATCTGCTTAGCCAAGTGCCATCTAGCATGATTCTGCATCATGAAGTTATCTTTAGGCGAGTTTTGCCTTGTCACAGTAGCGTTCCTGCCATCTGGCTGCTGGAATATTTTAGAAAGGAATCATAATGTTTGACTGACTTCGCTGATAGCATGACAAAACAAACTTTGAGAGGGAACTATTAAGTATGAGTTAGGAATGGTGAGAAAATGATCAGTTACTTCTTATTTAGCCACTGCATGAAACTGAAGAGACGTCCCGTTCCCCACGGGTGCTGGGCAGGTGCAGCCCATATGGTTTCTTACTGGCTTCAGCCAATAACGCACTTGAGACTCCCATTTTGCAATTCTACTTGGGTCTTTCCTGCAACCTGTTCAAGAGGGAACCTGACCCGTTACGCAGCAGGGGAATCGTGTGGTTACATGCCATGCTGACATGCCAACCAGATAGAGCGAAGCAGAGCAAATGTGGGAAAAATGCCAGGTGGGCATTGGGTGGACCAGGTTCCATGGAAGATTTTCAAGTGCAACTCGAAGGAATAGTCACCGTGCGTGGGTGATCTGTTCCAACAAGACACTGAATCGGAGATGGTGTCTTCTAGAAAAGAGTGCTTATGTACTGTGAGTTCGTCAGCTCCTAGGGAGAAGCTCAGAGGAGTAGATGGCCTCAGTTCTTGAACTTCTGAGAACATGTGTCCATATGAGTATGTGTGTGTGACAAAGCAAGATGCCTGGGCCGCTATCCGCTGTGCCTTAGGAGCTAAGGACTAGCATGTACTGAACACATAGTACATGCCAGCCTAGACTAAGCTTTCTATGTACGAAAGCATCGCAATAGCCCTACAAAGAAGCTGATTCTTCTTACTCCTGTTATCCGATGTGACATAGAGACCAAGGGCTAATCTGGTCATAGAATGGTCATGTCGCACCTTGCTCTGGTCCGCTATCAGCCCATTTATAACCCCAGGTACCCTTTGCCTCCCTGACTCTCGCTTATTACAGCTTAGCTCCTGAAGGGCAGGTGCTTGTCTATTTCATCTCTGTTCCCAGAACCTGACCATGCATGGTTCATGATGAGTATTGCATGAACAAGGAAGTGAATGAATGAAAACCTCTAGGTTCTAAAAGCAAAACTTGGAGCGCCTGGGTGGCTCAGTGGGTTAAGCCTCTGCCTTCGGCTCAGGTCATGATCTCAGGGTTCTGGGATTGAGCCCCGCATCAGGCTCTCTGCTCAGCAGGGAGCCTGCTTCCTCCTCTCTCTCTGCCTGCCTCTCTGCCTACTTGTGATCTCTATCTGTCAAATAAATAAATAAAATCTTAAAAAAAAAAAAAGCAAAACTCAAGTATTTTTTGGCTTATGTGCCCTTTTGACTTTTATTGTCTCATTCCCCTATGTTGATATGGATCATGAGGCATGACTTTATAGACAAGATGTATTAAATTTGGTGCAGATGTATTTGAAACTTTAAAGTTTCTCCTTTAAAGCTGAAGAATGCTAAACTCAGCCTGTAAAATCAGAAGGCCTCTGCTTCTTTTAGAAATTCAATATTATTATCTCTTTTTTTCTAGAAATTTTGTCATTCAGAATACCTGGGCTTGAATCATCATTTATTTGTTGTATGACCTTGGACAGATAACTTCTTTGTGCCTCGTTTTTCTCATATGTAAAATGGACATAATAATAGTACTTATCTCATATTGAAGGTAAATAACTTAAGATAGGGTCCATGCTGAGCATGGTGACTTCTTCATAGCAATGGTCAATAAAGTAGCTGCTATTATCTGATGCTTTTAAAAGTTGTTTGCCTTAAATATTTCCTAGTCCATTAAGCATTTGAGGAGATTACAAAAAAATAAGTGGCAAACAAAATTAATAGAGAATGAAACCAGGGTAGAGAGAACACACACATTGGAAAGCCAGATAAAATCAGAGGTAATTTAGAGAATAAGACTGTTTTATAAGGTGTAGGTGGTTTCTAGAGATGAGTTTATTATAAAGCCTTGTGTAGTTTCTGGAGAGGGGATTAAAAATTTGTCAGAGCTTCCCAGTAGCCAAAACAAAGAGGAAAACACAAATAGTTACTTGATCCACAGTGAGCATGAGATAAAAACAGATCAGTTGCACAGCTTTTCCGGGTCCTAAAACCTGGGACAACTTTCTCCTGGCAGGTCTTCAAAGCAATCACTGTTGCCATAGAGATCTCAGTGTTCCACATGGTCCCTGCCGTGAAGACAATGGAAGTTTTGTGGTAGAAGGCAATAATAAATGTTTCCTAGAACATTATGGACTGCAGTTCCGGAGACATAATCCCAGAGCACAGTCCAGCCAAAGCTCTTCTGTGAAGGGCCAGAACGCTGTGGTTTGAGGACATGCTATTTTCTTAGCTATGTTTACCGAGAGCCTGGGGGAGTAGAAAGATTCTTTCTTCCACAGATTATAATTCTTGGGAGAGTCATGTGAACAATCCCATCTTTAAGAACATTCAT